CCATGGAAACAGGGGGAAATGGCTGCTCTTGTGTGAAGCAAACGCAACATTTTTCAACTTTCTGCTAAGATACATGTGACTTTTTTTGCAACGAAAATGCGAGGATTATGAAATTATGCAAACCCCGCATATTTTGCACGGAAATCGGCAATTTATGCGGCGAAAGTGCGGCGTATTTGAAAAAATGCGGCCCCCGCATAAATATGCGAACTTTGGCTGATTTTGCATTGAATTCAGCGATCGCATAATCGCGTTTTTCTGGAGGGAAGTAAAACAGTCCGAAATGAAATATAGATTAATCCTTATCAAAGCTACAAGCATTCTTTAGTCAAGTGCAGTTAATAATTTTCTGTTTCCTCTGTTCTTTAGATTAACTTTACTGATATACAGAATTAATGGCTCCTGTCACTTTAAGATCTGCCGCCGGTAAGATTAAGATTACATAGGATTTTAAAGTCTACATTTCAGACCCAACTGTAGATATATTAATACAATTTAGTGACAGAAAAAATAGATACCATTTCCGTTTACTGGTCACGCATGAACGACATGATGTCAATAATCTCAAAATTGCCAAATATCAGCCATTTATTTGCCCTGTTATGTGTAACGGGGCAAAAAAGTACAAAACACACTAACCCTAAATCTGAAGTACTCAAGCATAACTACCATTCAGATTTTTTTAATGTTTTTGAAAGAAGTCTCTTCTCCTCACCAAGGCTGCATTTATTTGATTAAAAATACAGTAAAATCAGTAATATTGTGAAATATTATTACAATGTCAAATAACAGTTTTCTATGTGAATATATTGTAAAATGTAATTTATTCCTGTGATCAAAGCTGTATTTTCAGCATCAGTGTCACATGATCCTTCAGAAATCACTCTAATATGTTGATTTGATGCTCAAGAAACATTTATATGATTATTATCAGTGTTAAACAGTTGCTTCTTCGTTTGTGTGTGTGTGTGGAAACAGTGTAACATTATTTTTAGGTTTCTTATTTATTTGAAACCGAATATTGTAACAATGTCTTTACTGTCAATTTTGATCAATAAAAGATCAAAATCTTACTGACCCAAAACTTTTGAATGCTATTGCACGTTTGCGAAACTCAAGTGTCTGTATTGGTGTGATTTTTCCCAAATGATGTCAGATCTCTGGGTAGGATGATGATGTGTAATTAATGTAGGTCGTTTATAATCACTCTTAATTTCGAAAGCGTTTTTGATCCAACTTGAGATGAGAGCTGATCTCGTCCTCATTCTCACTTCTGTAAAGGAAGTTAAACTCAAATGCTTGAAGGCACAAAGCAACAGGACTTTGATCTGGCTTAAACCTGTCAAACATTAATATTGTTTCCGTATGACGAGAAGATCCGTATAGCAACTGGAGAAGGAAGTGTCTTGACATTGACTATATTTCAACTGCTTTTGATGTGAATCTTGCATGTAAACCCTGGTCACAAATAGTGGGCAGGGATTTCCCAACCCAGCATCCATATATGGACAAAGATTACAGGAAAATAAGGAGGTAGGAGTGTTTCAAGAGAAGTGCACTTCTCCAAGCCCATGTTATCCAAAAAGTTGGGATGCTTCTGAACTGATCTCATATGTGCAAAGCAGGTCACAGCACGAGCATCTCTTAACTAACATGAACTTTCCTTCATGTTTTTTTTGGCCTAAAAGCAACAGTGAGAGGAAATCATTTCTGGATGATTCAGTGTGTGTGAATGCTTGATGGGTTCACAGGAATAAAGTGCAGTGATCTCGCGAACATCATGTTAATGGTCCAAATGAGCAGTTGAGATGATTTATAATGGTGATCAACACAAAAAGGGTGTTTAAGAAGCCAAAGCAGACGCTAACAAGCTAAACATGAGGATGTCAGTGAGTGTAACGGAGTGAGTCGCTGCTACTCACCAGTTAGTCTCAGACTTCTCATCCACAACCTCGTTATAGGCCGCGGTAAGAGCCGGGCCGTTTTTGCTCAGGTTCACCGCCATGATGTGTCGATCTGTGGGGGTTTAACCGTCCGACTCTGGGGACAGGACACTCGGTGAACTCCAGTAACGGTAGATTTGGATCTTTCTCTCGGTTCTCAGTAGACAGGAAGCTCGCAGAGCCACATCACGTACACATCACTCCTCCCTGGAGAGACGTTACGAACCCTACTATGGTTAAGACGGAGCTCATGAATATTCATGACGCAAAGTGAGGTTCGCCCAATAAGCGTTGCTGATTTGCTGCAGAGCTGACGCTGGAATGGGGGCAAACGTCTTCACTTTTTGTTCAATAAAATATCAAATTTTTGAACCCTAGTAGTGCACATTGATTTTTTCCCTATTTGCCAAACTCAAGTGTCTGTATTACGTTAGTGTAATTTTCCCAAATTATGACACATCTCTGTGTAGGATTGTGAGTGTAATTAATGTACATTATATTTAATCACTGTTAATTTCTAAAGCGTTCAAGCAGCGAACTGATCTCGTACTCGTTCTTGATCTCGTTAATATAAATAATACACAAACAAACCCTATGGTCATTGGTCAAGGCACAGCTCATGAATATTCATGACGCAAGGTGAGGTTCGCCCAATAAGCTTTGCTGATTTGCTGCAGCAGAGCTCACGCTGGAATGTGGGGGAACGTCTGCTTGCGAATGATGATTCGCTTTATTATGAATATTAATTAGGTTATGCGAGTTCTGAATGTTACCAAGCAACGTTAAAATTACACATTTGCTAAGCCTTTGTCATAGTAGAAGTTTTAAATGAAGAGGCATGCAGCGACATCTGCCGGCAGACATGAAAGTCGCACGTGGACACTTTTATTAATCCGCCTGTGGTGAAAATCAAGATTGTGTTGTTGTTTATACATCTATTTGGTGCTTTTATAATAAATTCTTTAAAAAAAAACATGTGTAAATTCATAAGTCGACAGCATTGCTGAGTGTTTTCTCCTTAAAACTGCAGTGAATCAAAGACAACGTAAGACATTGAAATCGTTGGTGTTTCTGACGTCACAAACGACCTTGTAACCAATCAGATCAAGGTGTGATCTCGTCAACTAGTGGATCTCTGAGCTGAGTAAGTGGGCTCATTTGCATATTGGAAAAATAAAGACCCCCTTAAAAAGATCCCATAATTTAAATATCCATAGAAAAGGAGCCCCAAAAAGTGCATCCATCCATCATAACAATAATTCACAACTCCAGCAGGGGTTAATAAAGGCCTTCTGAAGTGAAGCAGTGATTTTTTTTGTACGAAAAATATCCATATTTATAATTTTAAGAGTAAATTATGGGATTTGGGGTGAACCAATCCTTTAAGGTCATTAAAAAAAATTATAATCATATTGATACAAACCGTACACGTCTCAGAACAAGCTTCATTTTATATTGTTTGTGCGAAATAATATTATTTATTAGCAGTAATAAATAAATAATTTTGATCTGAGGGTGAAATATATGGCCTGGACATGTTTTTTTCTGAGATTTACCCTCCAATAGACCTTATTCAGAGCAGCGCCATGACAGGTATGAAAGTGAGGCTGTGAGGGATAGACTTACCGTGTTTCCAATGGCACCCGCTGTAAAAAGCTGAATAAAGCTTCTAGATTACTTACAATTTTCCACAGCTTACATTTTCGGGAGTTTTTTGTCAACTAAAATTTCTTGGAAAGATATTTTCCCAGTGTTTCATGAGCAGAACAAAACGAAAACACATTAAATAACAGTACAGCCCATTGAAGAGATGCATGTCTATCCCTCACAGCCTCGCTTTCATTCTCATTAAAAATCAAAGATGGCGCTGCCTTGAATAAGGCGTATACATTCTGTCAATGAACAGTGCAGTAAAATCTGGTGTTCATTCAATAAATCCAAGAGAAGGCATTAAACAAAAGGAGCTTTATTCACTAAAGTTGACACCTTGGAGGTTAGTCTCAGCTGTACCGAGTCTGATTTCACGAGGAGAGAGCTGGTTAGATGAGAGGGTTAAACAGTTAGCAAGGAGAGGTCATTATGGCTCTGTGTACGTGTGTGTATGCGATACACAAAGTAGTACAGTACCAATCCACAGTTAAAACACAAAGGAAACAGTACAGTATGTTGCTTATACATTGATGGTTAAGGCTAAGGTTTTATTGAGGGACTTGGGGAAGGTGCGAGAATGGAAAAAGATCCCTGATATCTTGCAAATAGCTGCGGAAAAAGGTTGAAGCCTATCAGAGTGCAAAGCATGCTATACTGCCTTTACTGTAGCACAATCTCAAAACTGATTCCAGGACGACTGCATTGGAGCTGATGACTGGAAGACCACAAATAAATAGCAAATAAATAGACAAACGTAACATTCTACAAAGCGGATGCACAACCACGTTTAGAAGGGAAAAGTTGGCATCGAATTTTACATTCCATTCAATTTAAGAGAAAAGAAAAACTCAAATTACGCACCGTCATGTTTCGCGTTTCAATGTCCAAGCTGCTCATTTCCATACGAGACACGATTTCCAATAAATATTAGTTTGGAATAACATCATTTATGGCACTTTTTGAATGGAAAACAAAAATTCTCCTTTTGTGTTTTGCAGAAGAATGTCATCAAATGGGGTTTGGAAAAACATGAGGGTGAGTAAATGATTGCAGAGCTCACATTTTATCCTTTCCACAAGACACAAGTACCATTCCCCTTGGTGATAGTACACACATATGGTGCTAAATATGATCATGGCGATATTTAGCCCTTTTCAGGGAGTGTGAAGAGCAGCACCAGAAAGTGATGGTGAGGAGATCTTCGGTTCACACTTTCTTTTGCGTCCCGATCCCGACGCTCCGGGGCTTTTCTTCCGAGCTCCAGTGCAGATTACATATCTTTCGTTCTGCTCCGTGTAAACATCTTGATCATCCACCTCGAGATAGGCAGCCATGAGTTGATGAGCGTGTTTTTAGAAAACAAAAATCAATTTACAATAAAAGTACTTCAGTCCAGCACCTGTGCCGGTCGTACATCAAACGTACCATCTAGTCTGTCAAAAGTTAGTAATATTAGTGAGTACATGAACAAGAGTATCTAAAGATTGTTAAGGATTACACTCTTGTAGACAGATAAATGCTAAAAAGCCGTAAAATATTGCATTCATACGCTATGACGTGCCCTTTGCCTGCAAATTCGAAAGGGGCATCAGGGCTGTCAAACGATTAATCGCGATTAATCACAGTTATTCGCGATTAATCGCATCCAAAATAAAAGTTTGTGTTTACATAATATATGTGGGTGCACTGTGTATAATTATTTTGTATAAGTACACACATGCATGTATATTTAAGAAATATTTTCATGTATATAGATTTATATATAATTTATATATATATATAAATTAATATATAAAATATATTAATATATAAATTAAATTTATATATATATATAAATAATATTTTTCATATATATACACATGCATGTGGGTGTATTTAAATATATATATACAAAATAATTATACACAGTGCACCCACATATGTTATGTAAACACAAACTTTTATTTTGGATGGGATTAATCGCGATTAATCGTTTGATAGCCCTAAGGGGCATAATTACATTTGGCAAAAATGGTGGCATTTCTTTTTCTTTTTACACACACACACACACAGTCATTTTCAGCATTTTTGCTCCCTTTTTTTTCTGCAAGCAAATTGGGTGAAGTATAAAAATCTGTCTTGATTCCTAAAGCAACTTTACAATACTTATCAAAACAAATACTTACACATCTGTCGTATCATGCACATGCGGCTGAGGTGAGTTAAAGTTAGCGGGCGTTCGCACGGGACAAGCTCTCGCAATTAAAAGCAAGAGGAATATTTCGGGAATATGCTGTAAATATGCTATATTCCCCAGGGTTCATCTTTATCTGCTCGAAACACACTGCATCCGTGTTTACACACAGCATCAACAGCACAAAGCGAGAACATGTCCTGTGTGAACGGCCACCGTGATTCTGTAAAACGTCATTCTAGATTAAATTAAGAATATGTCAAAAGGAGATATGATAATACATAAAAACATTTCATGTCGAATAAATAATAACACCGTGTCCTAGTGAGTCCTAGTGATAAAAGCATTGTAGCTTTACATCCTAAAAGGCAATTTATTTTTATTTATATGGATTATATTTGTGTGCGACGTTCATCTCAGGGACTTCCTAAGTTACAAAAAAATTAGGGCTGGGCAACGATTAATCGCATCCAAAATAAAAGTTTGTGTTTACATAATACAGTATATGTGTGTGTGGTGGTGTGTATAACTATTTTGTATATATAAATACACCCTCATGCATGTATATATTTAAGAAATATTTTCATGTATATACCTTATATATATTTATACAGAATTAATATTATATATAAATATTTGATATATTAACAACACATTTTTCTTAAATATGTATTTATATATACAAAATAGTTATACACACTACAGACACATATATTATTTAAACACAAACTTTTATTTTGGATGCGATTAATCGCAAAAAATGTATGAATTTCACATGCGGAATATGTGTTTTGTACAATATTAAAATGGTTGACTTGTGATTGGATATCATGTTTTGTTTGACTTTCCCCTAGTAAAAAATCTATTTTATATGCATTTATTTCATACTGAGTATACTTCAAATCCATTAACACATTTATTGACATTTAATGAACTGATATCAATATTATAATTAAACTTTATTTGGAGTGCTTCTTTATTGCACAATGCATGTTTCTTATTATTATACTTAAAATGTGATCTAATATCATTATTGGTAGGGATAGTATGATCACAACATAATATCAGTCTTTCAAAGCAAGATATTGAAAGAGAAGCTAAAGTGTACTCCACTTTAGCACAATCAAATATACATCATATATCACTATTTCTGGATAACTAAACAAAATTAGTACCAATTTAGCAGACTTTAAGTATATCATTTTAGTACATAAATGTGTAAATGTATTTGTAGTATACTACGCATAAAAAAAATGCATTTCAGTATATTTATTCTCGTTTACGTCAACGCTTGCGTCGCACGAGCGCCCGCTACTGGCGGAACCCTTCCAATGTCTTTAAATGTAATGCACTGTTGCATTGTGGTCTATGGAGGGTAAAGGCTTAAGATTATCGCATCATGTCTGTTTAGGACACCCTGTTATGTTTTAATATTTTTTTAGAGATGTAGACTCGCTTGACTATTTTTATGACCTCCATTTAAAAAAATAAATTAAATAAAATCACATTTGCACTTTCACACCATCTTTTCCTAATCACATTCATAGTGTTTGTTGGAGTAACCAAAATGGCAGGAAGTTGGAAGGCCAAGACACTAAAAACATTTTTTTTTTTTACATTCTATCGCAAAACTGTTTAAAAATGGAAAAGCGTGTTCACTCACAACAATGGTTTTCACGAGGATTGTGAACCGACTCAGACATGATCAGGAGCGTGTCGTCGGCCTTCCAACTTCATCCCAATCACAATGACAAACGATGATGACGAGTAACACTGAGAAAATCACAATGACAGTAATAATAGAACTAACAGTAGCACAAGTCTAACTTCCTGGGTTGTGGTACCCCGAGGTTTGTCCGGTTTTACAGTTTTCCTGGAGTTTTCCAGGCTAATCCGTTCAGACGGCGGGTTTAGGAGAACGGCACATGACAGCGGATTCGGCTCATAGTGGCTTCTCACCTCCGCTTTCTGATTCCTTTCCAAGGGTCTGTTGTTTAGTTGTCCCTCTCCTCAACATTTACTTATTTTTACTCCTCTTGTTACAAGTAAAAATGTGTTTCTCGGTCCGTTTGATTCTGTAGTGTTTTAGTCGCAGGCACTCTCACATGGCGTACTTTTGCGTCCATTCTCTCGCTAGTCTGTTGTACCTGCGAGAAAAGAAAGGACAGACTCTTATGACAGTTCTGGGCGGTCAGATATCATATAAAACCCTTATTCATCGTCTGGTGTCGTTTAAAGCTGCACTGAAACTCTCTTTTGGAACTTGAACCGTTTGGTTCCCATTGAAGTCCATTATATGGAGAAAATCCTGGAATGTTTTCATCAAAAACCTTGCTGATAATTTTGTTACTCACCCCCATGTCATCCCAGATGTCCATGTCTTTCTTTCTTCAGTCGAAAAGAAATTAAGGTTTTTGATGAAAACGTTCCAGGATTTTTCTCCATATAATGGACTTCAATGGGAACCAAACGGTTCAAGGTCCAAAAAAAACTTTCAGTACAAACTGCAAACTTGTTCAAATGGCTTTAAACGATTCCAGACGATAAATAAGGGTCTTATCAAGCGAAACGATCGCTCATTTTTTAAAAAATAACAAAGTTTAAGTTTTATAAGATCAAACGCTCGCCTTGCTCTGTTCTGTGATGCACGTTCGTGACTCTCCTGTTCGAACACGTTCAACAAAATGAACAAATCTTTTCCCGAATCAATTCGTTCGTTTCTCAAGATTTGTTCATTTTGATGAACGAGTTCGAACAGGAGTGCGTTACAGAACAGAGCAAGGCAAGCGTTTGAGCTTATAAAACTTAAACTTTGTTATTTATTTATAAAACAAGCGATCGTTTCGCTTGATAAGACCCTTATTCATCGTCTGGAATCGTTTAAAGCCCTTTGAACAGTTTGCAGTTTGTACTTAAAGTTTCCTTTGAAACTTGAACGGTTTGGTTCCCATTGAAGTCCATTATATGGAGAAAATCCTGGAATGTTTTCATCAAAAACCTTAATTTCTTTTCGACTGAAGAAAGAACGATATGAACATCTTGGATGACATGGGGGTGAGTAAATTACCAGAAAAAGTTTTTTCAAAAGTGAACTACTCCTTTAATTTCTTTTCGACTATTGACTATTTTACAACAGCGCTGAATGTGGCTCATCACATTGGATTTTAAAGAGTCGAATGATCTGCAGTATCAGATTTGTTTTACCGTTCTGAGTCTTTTACTCTGAACACTATTGTCACATAATGCCATTTTTGTACCGATGCCAGACTTATCTTGTGTTAAAATCTAGACGTCCATTGTTAAAAAACAAAAAACAAAACAAAAAAACAGAAAATCATCACAAGCAATGAAGTACTCTACAATATACATCCAATTAATTCTATACATTCATAGAATTACTCGGATTTTCCAATGCCTTTTTGGGTCACTCACTTTTCTCTGTCTGCCTTATATGTGTGTGCGATCTCAGGTACCAGGGGGTCATCTGGGTTCGGGTCACATAACAGGGAGCAGATGGACAACAAGACTAAAAAAAGGAAGGGAACACATTAAAAACATGATATAAAGCCATCATCTGTACTGTTGGAAAGCCTTGTGTTGGTAGCAAGGGGAGAGCTTCTCCTGTGTTCCCTGTTTGTTTGTCATATAACAGTTTCCCGTGGAGTGATCCAAACTAGGTCACTTCTTAGAGAACAAAGATCAATCAGTGCAGTCTGACAGAGTAACCCACACGGGGCTCGATTAGACAGAAATGCCAAGACTCACTTCCAGTACACAAAACAAACCTGTTTACAGCTGGTGTTAATGCGTTTTGGTGGATTGGATCACGAGTGGATGTTAAATACAGGAGTAAACGGGTCTAAAGCGCTTTGAGCTCGTCCAGTTTCCTCCACTTCCAGAGTTAGTTGAAAACACATTCGACCGGATTGCTTTCGGATGTAAACGCTCAAGTGATGGAATGTGTTCAAACAGACACTAAAGGCCGTCTTCTCTCCGGCTACTGGTGTAATGCGGGAACATTATGGGAACAGCGATAGCCAGACGAGAGAAAAGTCCGCTAGTTCACTTACTTTGGTCCGGACTAAATAAAACGTTGATTTTCACACTGCACTATAAAAAAAATGTTGGTTTAACTTAAAAAAGTAAGTAACCTGGTTGCTTTAAAATTTTAAGTTGATTGAACTGGAAAAAGTGAGTTAATACAATGAAGGAGAATGATTTAATCATCAGAAACTCAAAATTATATGTTATCTGAACTAAATAAATTATTTAAGTTGATTTGACAAAAGAAAAAAATGTTGTGATAACTACACTGTAAAAAAATATTGTTGGTTTAACTTAAAAAAGTAAGTAACCTGGGTTGCCTTAAATATTTAAGTTGTTTGAACTGGAAAAAGTGAGTTAATACAATGAAGGAGATTAATTTAACCATCAGAAACTCAAAATAATAAGTTATCTCAACTAATTAAATTATTATAAAGTTGATTTGACAAAAGAAAATGTGTTGTGGTAACAAATCTTGAACATATTTTTTACAGTGTATTTTATATAAAAATTGAAAATGGTATTTTTGAGCATTTTTCATTACAATAAATGCTAAATCTTACACATTTTTTAAAGTTCACTTTTTCAAAAAAGAAAAATTCACTTCATCAATAATCATAGTGTCTTTTTTAAAAAGAGACAAAACTGAAGTCTGTGACCCAAAGCGTTTTAGATTTGTGACTGGAATGTTTTCAATGTTTAAGTTTTTCAGGTCTATGCTCAAAAAGTGAATTAAATAAATTGTTAAAGAAATATTATTATATATTATTAATGTGTAACAAAACCACACGTGTGCTAAGCTCATCCATTCATTGGACAGATTCTCAAGGAAGGAAGGAAGTGCAAAAACAGGCAATTTATGAAGATATTTATAGTGTAACTTTTATCCTTTTACAGATCATCAGCTACTAACGCAATATGAAGAAACTTATGAGCATCATATGATACAATGTCATTTAAACTAGGATTTTGCAAAGACGAATGTGTTGTAAGACGGTTGTGGCGGACTTTACTTGAAGGAGTGTGTATAAGACTGACATGGCATCTGTCTTGAATATGAAGTAGGGTTTATGCATGTCTTTCGCTCAATAATGACATTTTGAATGCAAATATGACATTGTTTAAGATGTCTTTGTCATGACAACTTGACATTAAATGACGTTAAACTGTCATGTGGTTGGCTTTGACATTGGCTGTCATGAGGCATTATAACTGTGTCATGAATATTTTTCGTGACCTCAACTACAGTGGTTTAAATTAAAAAGTTATAATGGCCTCATGACGGCCAATGTCAAAGCCAACCAGCTGACGGTTTAATGTGATGTTAACCAATAAAGCTAGGTTCTTTCTTAAGTTTGATCATTAATCTGTTATGTCATGTTTATGACATGTTAATGTCAAGATGTCATGACAAAGACTCCGACAGGTTATGATGTATCGGTTTATGTCAAGGTGTCATAAAGACATCTCAAACAATGTCATATTTGCATTAAAAATGTCATAATTGAGCGAATGACACTTAATGATAGTTGTCACAAACATGCATAAAACGTCCTTCATATTCATAGCATGTCATGGTTATGAAGGTGTCATGTCAGTCTTATGCACACCCCTTCAAGTAAAGTGTTACCAACATGGCTCCTCATCCCATAATGCACAGTGCAGCTGACTATGGCAGCTGGTTTAGTCCAAAAATGCACAGTTTTTTGGTGATTGGGTTTGTTCGAAGTCGGATCACGGATCTGCTTTTACACCGGCCCAAACGAACTGTCTCCGGTCGCGATCATATGTTCATAGCGTGAGCTTATTTTGTTCATTACATTGAAAGATCCGCGCAAACCCAAACATTTACTCGCCCACAAAAACTCTGCTCGAAGAAATCAGGACAGAAGTGTTTGAGACGCATTAATACAACGGGAATGTGTTTCTCGTCTACCTGTGATGCGATCGACCAAAGCGCATCTTAGTCCCAAACAGGGTCTCAGCGCCTGCCTAAAAAATGCTCAAGCCACATGAGAATGTTATAATTCGTAAATGATAATGATCATCTGTTAGTTTTCCTGAACAGACAGGACCGCATAAATAATGTTTAAAGAATATTTAAAAACATTTTGCTTGACATTTTTAACTTTGTCACATTTTTATCACTAATACATCTTGTTGTAGTAATATGTTCATGTCATAAAAAATATGCATTCTACATAATAATAAATCATTTATTCCATGCAATTTTAGAGCGCTTTTGTTCCTAATAGTAGCACAGCTGATGTTTATGTAAAATTGCTTGATCATATCATAATTTATTATATATAGTTATTATATGAGGTTTCTAAAAAGTAGCATGGTATTAACATTGCTTTAGACTTACAGTTAGTGTCAAATAAATACATTCAAAGTGATTGTTTCAAGCATCGAGACGTTGCCGGAAACTTACCTTTGGACACAGTAAGCGCAGGAGACCACTGAGATCGCAGGATGTCCAGACAAATACTGCCATTACTGTTAATATTAGGGTGGTAGATTTTTGTTGTGAATGCGACCTGTCAATCAACACAGAGAGTATCGATCACAGCGTTACAAACCAATACATACATTTGCATTAGTGGTGGAACGGATCACAAAATTCACGGTACAGATACTCTCAAAAACAACGAAAATAAATAAATAAATGTATAATAAATAATAACAATAGTAATATTAGATATACAGTCATGACCAGAATTAATTGGAGAAAAACATTTATTTTATATTGCGATTCCCCCCCCCCCCCCCCCACTTTCAATTCTTTTACTTAAACGAAAGGTTAGGATTTTGCCAATTTTTTGACTGAAAGATCAAAAGGATAAACAATGCAGATTTATTTTTTACTGCCATTTTATATCATATTTACCAGGGGTGTGATTAATTCTGGTTACGACTGTATATATCGCCCATATATATATATATATATATTCATCGTCTGGAATCGTTTAAAGCCCTTTGAACAGTTCGCACTGAAACTGTCTTTTGGACCTTGAACCGTTTGGTTCCCATTGAAGTCCATTATATGGAGAAAAATCCCGGAATGTTTTCATCAAAAACCTTAATTTCTTTTCGACTGAAGAAAGAAAGACATGGACATCAGTTCCACCCCTAATTTGCATACGACTAATGGTCTCCAAACACAATGAATCGCACAAAGCAACTCACCTTTGGTGGTTTAAACGGGTAGTCTGTCGGAAAGTGAATCGTGAGGAAGAAAACCCCACCTTGATATGGACTGTCGTTCTGAAAAACAAGGACAGTTTACTAATGTATGTTTCATATTCTGTTATAAGGAGACACGTCTGACTCATTTCTGACTCAATGTAAGAGGAAAAACTCATTTTGAGAAAATGACCTTAAAAGATATACAATGTATTTGAAATCTACAGACGCAAATAGATCATGTGCTCTAAAATATACAGTTAAAAGTGTATTTTGGATGTTTTCTGTCCACTAGTCTGAAAAAAACTTTGAAAAGCCAAAAAAAGCCCAAAAACTCAAAATTGACAGATACATGAAAACAAAACACACTGTTTTTGCCGGGAGTGTCTGGCCTTAATATGTTATAAACTGATAAATACACATAACTTTTATGTTAGATGTGATTAATCGCAATTGATGGATTTCACAGCACTAATAATCAAAATACCAATAATTATTACAATCCAAAAATGATGCGGGACTTAATCACAAGAAAGGCCGAAATACACTGGGACTCTTGTTTTGAAATGTCTACGCTTTACTACTACAGCTGCTCATTAAGATATTAAATATGCACAATCATCTACAACATATAATACAATATAAATATAAACTCAATCAATATTCTCAATCAACAGAATCACGAGCCATCGTTTGACATGGCAAATGTGTGGAATTCATTGATTGCAAATGTTTCTAAAGTCACAACTCTGTGAAACGTTTTGACGTTGAATATTTATGGAATTAAATCATCACCTTTTGAGGTTTAACAATCACATTAGGCTGTGTCGTGTTTGCTGTTTTCTGTCTATAAATGCACACATTTAGATATATTAAGATATTTAAGACTTTTTATAGCCTTAAATTTTATCAAACTGAACTTCTTAAAGGAGTAGTTCACTTTAAAAAAATCTTTTGCTGATAATTTACTTTCTTTCTTCAGTCGAATTAAGGTTTTTGATGGAAACATTCCAGGATTTTCTCCATATGATGGACTTCAATGGGGTCCAAATGGTTCAAGGTCCAAATGAGAGTTTCAGTGCAGCTTCAAAGGGCTTTAAACGATTTCAGACGATAAATAAGGCTCATCTAGCGAAACGATCGCTCATTTAATAAATAAATAACAAAGTTTAAGTTTTATAAGCACAAATGCTCGCTTTGCTCTGTTCTGCGATGCGCGTTCGTGACTCTCCTGTTCAAACTCGTTCATCAAAATGAACAAATCTTTTTCCGAGTCATGACTCGAAGGGTCCTTGATAAGACCCTTATTCATCGTCTGGTGTCGTTTAAAGCCCTTTGAAGCTGCACTGACACTCTCATTTTGACCTTGAACCATTTGGTTCCCATTGAAGTCCATTATATGGAGAAAATGCTGGAATGTTTTCATCCAAAACCTTAATTTCTTTTCGACTGAAGAAAGAAAGACATGGACATCTTGGATGACATGGGGGTGAGTAAATTATCAGAAAAAGTTTTTTTTTTTTTTTAAAGTGAACTACTTCTTTAAGGACCCTGAATGTAAAGATTTTACAAATGTTTTAAGTCTACTGGTCTAGAAATCACATTTCACGACTGTGGGAACCCTGTAATTGGAAAAGAATAAGACAGCTACTCACCGGCCCCATTATTGTTGCCTGCCAGTGAAACACTGCAAAACATGAATCATGACATTAAATCAATTAAACACTGATCCAATCATGTATGCTGAGAATGCCAGACAGTGTTATGTGAATATCTTTGTATTCAAACTGTAGTCTGATAGTAGGGATGCACGATATATCGGCCACCATTTCGGTATCTGTCGATATATGTTCATTTTATCGACCGATTGATTAAAGCCGATAAATAATGGATGATTTCCTTCAGATGTGCACTGTTCACCATGATGGATTTGAATTGCTTGAGTTATGATTGAAATCACAAATTCCGTTTCTCAAAAAAGGAAAATACAGAAAATATAGGGATGCACGATATATCGGCCAGCATATCGGTATCGGCCGATATATGTTCATTTTTAATGTTATCGTTATCGGCCTGGTAAGAAAATGTGGCCGTTATATTAAAGCCGATAAATAATGTATTATTCCCTTCAGCTGAGACACTTGTGTAGCACTGTTTATGTTTTTGAATTTCTTGAAATATGATTGAAATCTCTTCAAAAATTAAAATACGGTTCGGTACAACATGTGCAACGCAAATCTGTCATATCGGCTATACAACCCTATAACATGGACATGGATTTAATTGTGAGACTTTTGTTTTTGTAATCAGGCTGTCAAAATTAGATAAAAATTTGGATTTAAGTTTATCGGCCGATATATCGGATATCGGCTTTCAAATATAAAGAATTATCGGTTATCGGTATCGGCCAAAATTTTCATATCGGTGCATCCCTAAGAAAATACCTGTCATATCGCGCTACATAAAATTATCATGAGAACAAAAATGTGTTTGGGACATGGCTTTTAATGACAAGAATTTTGTTTTTGGTTCGCAAAAATTATATAAAACTTTGGATTTGGATTTATCGGCCAATGTATCGGTTATCTGCTTTCAAATATAAAGAATTATCGTTATCGGCCAAAAATGTTGATATCAGTGCATCTCTATCCAGCCCCATCCACACTACTACGGTTTAGTTTAGAAACGGAGAACTTTTGCTACGTTTACAGACTAAAACAGCAAAACGAAAACAGACAAAATCCACAACAGAACTGGAAGACAACACAATGCTGAATAAAGTCGTAGTTTGTTATTTTTGGACAAATGTATTTTCGATGCTTAAAAACATTGTAACTAACCCACTGATGTCACATGGACTACTTTGATGATGTCTTTATTTCCTTTCTGGACAAGGACAGTATACCGTACACACATTTACAATGGAGGGACAGAAAGCTCTCCGACTAAATCTAAAATATCTTAACCCTCAGGTGCTCTTCGTTTCGGAGTCACACTTGTAATCTTCCCGGTCAAAAGTGACCGGACACCTAAAAATGAAACTTTCTCCATCCCAGTAAAACCAATGCAATTTATTTTTGTTGTATAATATTTATTCTTTTTAATTTAGTATTTTGAGACAATTTAATTGAATTTATTAATATTTATGCAATATTTATGGTTTATTTTTGCCATGGAAAAATATATATATTTTTCTATATATATATATATTTTTTTTTTTAAATATTAATGCAGTATTTTAGTTTAATATAGAGTCTAGGCCTTCAGAAAAAAAATATTTTTTGAAGAAAATTAGCACCATCTGGTTACAGTATAGAGAAAAATCGTAGAATCATGGTGTAACCACTAGGTGGCATGTACAGCTCTCTATGGAGAGGCATGTGAATTCCCCAGCTGTTTATGAACACATTTTTGTTGTTGTTGTTGTTGTTGTTGGTGGTGGTGGATTTGTATCTTTAGTTGAAAAATCTCAAAGTATTTCTTATAAAAAAATAACAAAAAACAAATTTTTTTTTCTTCATTTTTTTACAATTTCCCATTCATTTCCTATGGGGTCATTTTTGACCAAAGACCACAAGTGTGACTATTTTTTTTAAGACCACTTAGCATGCTCAGATCATGACCTCAATTTTTTTGTGGGTTCACATACATAAGGCCATAAAAGTCACCAAGTTTCGTAACATTGCGATGAAGCTGTGATTTTTAAAATTTCAAAACAGAAACTTTTTCAGTCAGAAATGACCGAAGAGCACCTGACGGTTAACCTTCAGTCGTTCCTGATATACTCACAGTCCTCTCCGACCGGACCCGCTGAACACTGGGCTGGTGGATCTCTCTGCAGGTCTGTCAGTTCCTGAGGGGAAAACATCAGCTGGATTTAAGTGGCCATTTCATGTAAAACAACATTTCTAGAGCAGGAAACTTTTTGTGTTTGTAAGTGTACGTCATGGAAAATTGAAAACAAAGGATTCCTGTCCCGAGCAAAACTTCATCAGCACTAGGATGCTTCATTTATTCAAGACGCTTTCTAAAAACAGAGTTTGGCTCATGTTAGTGTAATGTGGCTGCCGAAACATATTCCTGAAGCTTCGGCTGTGAGGTTTGTTTCCGTTTTGAGACGTGGATCATTTCAGCATCTCTGCCAGCACAACCCACACTATGACAGTCATCTCACGCTAGCAACTCGGTCGGAGAAGGAAATATGAATGAATATAACTGAAAATATCAGGGTGTTACAGAAATATCAGTTGTGGAAAACACAGGCTCCTCGTGTGTCCTTCTTAGAAAACATTATTTAAAGTCAAAATGTGATAGAAGTAAAAGTGTATAATTAACCAACATCAATATATATATATATATATATATTATGTTTTGAATGAAGGCAAACATATTGTAATACAATTATTCAAGATAGTACACGTTTGGGTCATTTTCAATGTTTTTGAAAATCTCACCAAGGCAGCAATTAATTGATAACGATATTTTTTTTTAAATTGCAGTTTTCTATGTGAACATGTTGTAAAATGTAATTTATTCCTGTGTTCAAAGCTGTATTTTCAGCATCATTACTCCAGTCTTCAGTGTCACATGATCCTTCAGAAATCACTCTAATATGAGGATCTGACGCTCAAGAAACATTTGTGCTGCTTTATATTTTTGTAGAAATACATTTTTTGCAGGATTCTTTCATCAACAGGAAGTTCAAAAGAGCAGCATTCATTTGAAATGGAAATCTTGTGTGACATTTTAAACGTCTTTAACACTTTTGATCATTTTAATGCGCCTTTGCTGAATAAAAGTACTGATTAAAAAATAAAACACATACGGACAGTGCTGTAAATATACACTTTACATTTGGATTTGTATTATTTTATTTCCTTTTAGTTTAGGGGTAAAATTGGAGCTAAAAATATGTTGTTAACATGTTTCATGACGAGTTAACCCAAATTATTTTAATTAATACTTCAATAATGTTAAATCAGCGCTGGCAGTTTCTCGATTTCTTAAACCTGTCCTTTAACGATAACGATGGGGGTGGGTGATATGACAAATCAGAATTATGAAATTTCAATAGTATAAAAAAATTGATATCATAACCTTATTTAAAAGCAAAAGAAAAAAAATAGCCTATATCGCATTTTATTTCAAGGTAACGATGTATACATCACAAAATAGGGTAGTTATTTTAGCTTTAAACACGATTATGATATAAATTTTTTATTAAATTTGAATCAATTTCAAAATTCTTATCACCATTTCAATATCATTCAGCAGAAAACTACTACCATCCTAAAAACTCTGAAGCGTACTGAAGATGAGTAAACAGTGATAAAGAAAGAACAAAGAAAACAAACGGCAATAGAACAGAAAAAAATGAAATATTTCAAGCACTAGAAATAAGAAATACTCCATAAATGTATAAAATAATCCAATGTATAAAAAAACTGTGTAAATTAAATTAAATACTTCAATGTTAAAGTCCAATATTCATTTTCGGACACTGTCACTTTAAGACCGACTGCACGGATCCAATATACATGTGCATTATTTTCCTTCTTAACTGTGTTTACGTTCACTTTAGAAATATATGACTTGCAAATACATTTGAAAAACACTGTGAAACTTGAAAAATTAGAATATCTTGCAGAGTTCATTTATTTAAATAATTAAACTTAAAACTTAAAAGGTGAAACTAATATATTATATAGACTCATTACATGCAAAGTGAGATATTTCAAGCCTTTATTTGTTATAATTGTGATGATTATGGATTACAGATATGAAAACCTTTTCACAATATTCTAATTTTGAATTTGGGGTTTTCATAAGCTGTGATCCATAATCATCACAATTATAACAAATAAAGGCTTGAAATATCTCACTTTGCATGTAATGAGTCTATATAATATATTAGTTTCAGACAGCGCTGAGAAACAGTCTCTCAGAGAGCGTGCGTGTACTGAAATTAGTTGTCTTTTGCTGCTAATTGTGGTTGACGATCCACTGGTTGACGATCACACGTTGATCTGATTGGTTACAAGGTGGTTTGTGACGTCAGAAACACCAAAGCGATTTCAAAGCGTGTTTTTGAGACTGTCTTTGGTTCACTGCAGTTTTAAGGAGGAAATACTCAGCAATGCTGTCCACTTATCAACTTACACATGGTGTGTCTTAAAGCATATTAAAAACACCACACACAACATTAAAAGCTGGATTTTCACCACAGAGAGACTTTCAGTGTATTGTTTTTCGGCCATGATTCTTCTCTACTGAGGTTTTCTAGTTTTGAAACACCGTTTGTAATGTCGGGTCAGTATTTAGCATTAGGCGTATGTGTGTGTACAGTAACTGATCATTCAGCAGAAATCTCTCATCATCTCTGATATGTAATCCTCATGGCCGTGGCACTCCTCTAATTTGTATTGCTAGAAGTTACTGTGTGTCTAAAGATAGACTCGAGCCGTCAGCTGCTCGCCACCAACACTTTCAAGAACTATAACCTTAACGAAACACATACAGTGAGTGCCTCTGACGGGTCAGTCCATATCTATCCTTGAACACAACAACAGAAGAACAATAAATGGCTTTGAATGACATTACTGCAAGAATTAAAGAAAGCACTGCTGCAACTATCCGACTTTAGTCCAGTTCTATGAGAACCGTGAACAATACTGCCTTCTTTATTTATTTATAATGTTCTCTTAGGTCCACTTATAATATTAAAGACTTTTAAACCAAAAAAACATCCTAATTTAGAAGCAAGCTCTTTTCTCTCCTGCTTTTGACCCTATCAAACACTTGATGGGCGTGTCCCATTCAAAAGTAAACGCCCACTGCGATGATTGGGTTCGCATATTAAAATAAATTTCAACATCTCAGATGTTACACTTGTGGAATTGTTTTGAAAACTTCCAATTTTGAAAAATATTGTTATATAATTGAAACATTTGCCAACGAAAGGCAAACAAAGCATTACATATACTTTATAAGTCTTGGGTGTGATTAATAAAAACTAAGTTTAAGGGATAGTTAACCCAAAAATGCATATTCTGTCATCATTTACTCTCCCTCAAGTTGTTCCAAACCTGAATAAATGTCTTTCTTCTGCTGAACAAAAAAGTAAATATTTTTAAGAATGTCGGGAAAAAAAAACTGTTGTTGGACCCCATTGACTTTCATATTATTTTTCTTCCATTCTATGGAAGTCAATGGGGTCCAACAACTGTTTGCTTACCCATCTTTATAAAAATATCTTTTGTGTGTGTGTTCAGCAGAAGAAAGAAACTCATTCAGATTTGGAACAACTTGATGGCGAGTAAATGATGACAGAATATACATTTTTGGGTGAAATATCCCTTTAAGTACTGAGTTACCACAGCAGTTATAATTGACAGAAGATGACGTACGATGTTTCCTGTAAACGGAAGTATGAATGTACGTACCATTGTTTGTCGTTCTTATAAGTTCATCATTTTTGATAAAGTGAAAAACATATATATTGTCATTTGATAAAATGAACCGTATTGCAATGTCTTACTGATGACAAATCAGATGTTGCTCGCTGAGGCGTTTATTCGGGATTACAGAAAATTGCTTCAATCAAAACAATAACAAAAGCAGCGTTTCCGATACGCATTAACCCAATAAATGCCGAAAAAAAAAACCAGCAAATCACAACTCTTCATTCTGTAAATCTGTTTGCGTGTCTCCGTCTCATATTTACTACTAAATGTCATGCACAAATTGGTGGCTAAAGAGCAAATTATGTAAAAAAGTAGGTGTTTCTGAGCTTGGTTTCAATAAAAGCTGTTTTTGGATATTTTTGAGTTCTGAAATTACAGGATATTTTACCGTTATACGTCAAAAGATCAAGGAAAATTGTCACATTAAATTGACAAGTTATGATTCATACATTACAAATGGACCACAGCTTTGACAAATACATTTTTATCAGAAATAAGACTATTCTCAATTTAAGAAGAGAATTATGAAAGATTATACAATAATTCTATAAACCTGCAATACAGAATATTGGTATATCGTTACTTATCGTCACTTACACTAAGCAAAAGAAAATACGGTCTCAGTTTTCTTAAACATTAGAGTCCATAGTATCAATCAACATAATGCCTGTATTAATATAATTAGATTATTTTGCTTACATGATTCAATACACATTAAAAGGTTGTTTGTTTCTGATAGCCAGGACATGATCATTGCTTAAGTGTGATGCTTAATAAATGACCTCTGGCAGGATTTAACACAACACACCACATTATACTGTGTTACATGTGTGCTGCTTTTAAAGGGGGCGGAGCTTCTGCTGCCTATTTCTGATCTGTTGTTGTCACTCTCTCTTCACCCCTGGTTGAAGCAACATGACATTTGGAAAAAGTTAAACGCCTGATATTTATCAATACTCTGTACACATTTAATAAAGTGTTTAAAAACGTGCATTCAACATTTTTATCAATTTGCCAGGGCTTTTTAGATCTTTAAATCCCCCTTTAGTCAATAATTGTATCCCTCAAAACTCATCTTTGATCACCAAAATTATTCAATTTCTTTATGCCTTAAAAAAAAATCTTATATGTAACTCGACACCCTTGCCTCATTTAGTATTCACGGTTCTATAATCTATAATGCAAATGAGCCCGATCTGATTACAAGGCCGTTTGTGACGTCAGAAACACCAGCGATTTCAAAGCGTGTTTCTGAGACTGTCTTTAGTTCACTGCAGTTTTAAGGAGGAAATACTCAGCAATGCTGTCCACTTATCAACTTACACACATGGTGTGTCTTAAAGCATATTAAAAACACCACACAGACACATAAACAACATTAAAAGCTGGAATTTCACACTACAGGGGGACTTTAAGATCCTTTCTGGTAACTAAAAATGTTAGAGCTGAAATGAAATTTCTCTTTTGTGAGTCCATTAGAACAACACCATAAAGGCGAGTAAATAATTACAGAATTTTTCTTCTTATAATTAGTGATTATGGAATCATTTGAAATCAAAACAGTGTGATTTTCTATCTGTGATTGCAGTAGTTATGCGAACAGGGTGGCGAATCTGTTAAAAATACCCTCCGCTGTCCTAGTGCCCTATTTGCCGAGCCATATATGGACACACTGACATTGGGGTTCAGCATTTGGCAACTTGAAAGCGGTTGTCGCCCATCACGCATGCGCACCAGTGGCGCTTCTCTCATTCATGATGACAGACAACAGAAAAGATACATTTTAACGAGGTTTAGATCTCCACTTAACTTACATGCCACAAATTATTCATAATAACACCTGAAAAAAACCCATAAATGTGTGTTTTATGCGCGCAGTTCCTTGTGCTACAACATCACACATCGCCAATTGACGTTGTCGATCACATATTGCGCAAAACAAACACTCGTATTCAGCAATATCGAAGTATCAGTGACTGTTTATAACATAATGCCCGTGAATCTGTAACGATCAGAACGGGAACAAGCGTCTGTCGACTGCATGCATCCACCATTGGCCATCCGTCTTTGTCTTGACCAGATGGGGACAAAATGAGGAAAGTGCGAGGGCTTTACATTCACAACAGCGTTAGAAGATGACGATGAGGACATTGACAGAGGCTGTGAGGTTATGCGATCCACACAATGAACACAAACTCACCTTTTGGATTCTTTTCAACGCCATTTGCTCGCTGTATTACAGCACAGTGTCTGTTTGATCTAGTTCAGATACTGTTGGCCTGTACAGTTTGGATGAGAACGCGGTTGTTGTTGTTGTTGTTTTTTTCCCCTCTCACTGTCACACGTTAGGTACGTAATAACACAAAAGCACAGATTTGGACATTCACACTGCTGTTTAAACGGCAGTCGCCGATTTGAGGAATTCTTACCCCCTCTAACCTCACTGACAGTTTTTAGTGCTGTACTAGACAGCAGGAAGGTAATCTCGCGAGACAACGCAACGTATTTTATGTATTATCGCGATACTAGAGCGTGCGTGTTAGGGAGGGGACGCTGGGAAATGTAGTTCTGTTGGCGTTACGTGGTAATTTTGCGTAAGGATGTGATGTGACAGAAGAAAATTATGATCGAAGATGAATATAAATCTGCACCTTAATCATTCTACTTTCCTTCTATAATAGTAGTAGCTAAGTTTTAGTTTAGCTTACAATTAGTAGTTTAGCTTACAATAGTTTTCGTGGTAACACTTTACAATAAGGTTCATTAGTTGGTTGGCATTAGTTAATGTATTTACTACTAACATGAACTAGCAATGAGCATTTCATTTGTTACAGTATTTATTAATGTTTGTTAATGTTAGTAAATAAAAATACAGCTGTTCATTATTTGTTGTTAGTTTACAGAGCATTAACTAATGTTTAACAAATACAACCTAATAGTATTTCTTAACAGTATTTAATAAAATATAAATACTGACGAAGTGTTGTTCGTTCTCAGTTCAAGTTAACGAAGGTAGTTAATTAATGTGTTACCGTTACAATAACATGCCTAACTAACAGAATAAATTCTAAATTAAATTTTAAATACACGCGTATCTAATCTTATTTTCCCGAAATGTTTAGTAAGTTTTGAAAGTCCATCCAGTGTATTGCTGTGCTGTCTCTATCCACAAGATGGCGACGTTTGACTATTTAAATGGTGGATGATCCAAAGTATTTCCTTTCTTTAAAAAAAGCAAAAAGCGCTGGACAACATTTCCATACTGTTACACAAAGAACAATTTAACAAAGCCTCAGAATGTCGGGGTGTGTGTTGGGGGGTGCTACATAAAGTAGGCCTAGTACATAAAAACAAGATGTTGTGGGGATAGTAGTAGGCTACACTTAAGCTGCATGTAAATTATGAAGATATGCTCTGACTGATTTGAAATCATAATTTTGGTCACCCCTGAAATGGATCATATCCATAGACTGTAAAAATATACAATTAATGTGGATTCAGGGACATGTGTTTAATGCTTTCACTTTATTTGTTTCAGGGGAATCATCATAAATGTGAATTTCACAAAATGTCCAGGTCATATTTCACCTCACAATAGAAAAAAAAGAAAAAGAGGAGGAATTATACATATTTAAATATATAATTATATATAATTTATAATGATATACATCATATAATTAGATAATTTAAATATATAAATATACCTTTCTACATTTAAAATATACATAATTTATACATATATTCTTTTACATTATCCTCATGATAATTATGCAGTTTCCTTAATTTTTCTCAATATTCCACCAATATATATATATATATGATGGCCATAGCAATTGTAACAATGTTTGTTTCATTATTGTGTAACTGTTTAAATTTCACTTAGTAAAGCCTATAATTTAAAATACTTTTTATATGCTTTTAAATAGACATTAATAAGTAGTTTCCCCTTGAGAAAACCTTGTGTTTAATGAACAGTATCTTGTTTCCTGGGCAATAACAGAGGAAATGTTCAGTAGCCAGGACTTTGAAAGTCTGGTTTCCCCTATACTCATTTATTTATAAAACCCAGAATAGGCTTTTCTATGTTTCTGATGGAGCATACATTTATGTGGTTAGAACGTGTTAAAATATAAAATTATTGGTAAATTTACAGTGGGTTATATTAACATTTTGTACTGGTCAATACTAAATGATTAGTTTATTTATGTGCATGAGTACCAGAGGCCTTGATGAATCTAGTGTAAAATATTGCATTGTGTTGTATTTGGTCTTATCCAATATAACTGTGACACTAATGGCTTCTCTGTCAGCCTGAGGCAAGTCATGATCTCTCGGAGTGAATTTTATTCCAGCTGCTTAACATTGACCGCTCCTCTCCTGTAAAGCTGCCCCTATTGTGTGCTTAAAGTGAGCCATGCAGGGTTTATTGCTGCTTTAACAATGAGAAACTCTCCTAAAATCAAACAATGTGAATAAACGGCCTCACAAATGTTGTGTTTATAATATATATATATGATCAAAAATGAGTAGAAGATGGTGTTTTGTTTTGTTTTTTGTTCACTCATAATAATAATAATAATAATAATAATAAAACCTTTATTTAACCAGGTGAGCACATTGAGAACACATTCTCATTTACAATGGCGACCTGGATAAACATATTAAACATATTTATTTGATCTCGAATGCTGATTGGTCAGCAAAAACTGCCAAAAACAGTTGCTTAAAATATTTCGGATTTGGTAAATAAGACCTAATGATAGTTATATTTAGGATCATGTTCTGAGTAACCGTTTAATGCTAAAATGGTTCTTTAAAGTTCGGGTTCTTTATTCCCGCCCTTTTGTTTTTTAAATTTCTAACTGTCAAGAACTTTCCTTTTCACAGACTGTGATGGGATGTCGCGTTTTAACGGTCTTCAGCATCGCGAATATAATCCTGCAAAGTTTCTTATTTCTTTCTTTTTTTAAAAAAATGTGTGCTTACATTTAACAATATAGGCTAAATTTTTGCATCAAATTACAAAAAACGCTGCTGTGAGGGTTTCTATGCAGCGGCTGTGGACTGTGACGGTAAAGTTAACATCTTTCTCTCGTCTGTTATCAACCTTTCAAAAATATATTAAGAATTATATTAAATCTTTATCCACCTCCTGTAAATTCTGAATATATGCTCATACGTTGTCATTTTAGCCTAATGTTTTATTTAATTAATATTTTTTGAGTAGAGTTGTTCTATAGTAGACTATAAGTGTTGTATATTCTTTATTACCTTTTTATTTAGGCTATTTATTAATTCATTTCTTGATTCAAATATGTAATGCTTGGCCATCCCTGAACCCCTGACTTTTTCTCTTGGCTTATGTTTTACTCACTTTTGTGCTAAGCAATTGATCAATCTTTTTCCTTTTTCAAAGACTGCTTTTATCAATCTCTCTCTATTTTTTTTCTTAATTTTCCTCTTTTGAAAGTTGTGAAAACTATATTGTGGAGTTTTTCTTTTGTCATTTGAGCAACCGGGAAATATATTTAATGTAGTTTCTCATTTACCAGAAGTTTACCCATCTATGACGACTTCCTCTTCTGAGAAACCCGGAAATGTGAAAAGAGTCAATTCTCTGAAAGCCACCAAATTAAAGATTTTCAGGAGCTACACAAAACACACTAAAAAGGTAGGCCTACTTTATATACTTCTTAAAATGTGACCTGATCCAGCAAAACGAGTCACAGTGACCCAAATTTCAAGAGATTTTACTAATGGAAAGAGGAGACCAAGCATTCAAATGACAAATCCCAGTCAAAGTCATAGCTTGAGTGGTTGTAAAGACATACGCATTTGAAAATATATGTAGTCAATTTTTCCAATTGAAAACCTGAGAAAATCGCTTTTATTTTTTTGCCCGTTTTTTTTTTTTTCATATCTTAATAACTATTCATAAACTATTTATTTTACAGCTTAACTTGACCAAAGACATTAATATATATATATATATATATATATATAATAAATGCTATTAAACTATGCTAAAGCTCAAATTATTTAAAAGGCACTTTTATCGAAAGATCATTTTGCCAGAGCGGGTAACAAATGTCTATAATTTCTAACTTTTAAATTGTATCTGTTCCCATACCATATATTTTTCTCAAAACGAGCAGCTCTGTTGAGATGAGGATAATTCTCTCTTCTTCTCCACGAAGCAAGAAAGGAAATGACAGATATTAAATGTACGATCCCTATTATTTGTTCTTAACTCTTACTCAGGAAAGAGTCTCAAAAACATTAAAGATATTACATTTTTATCACTTTTTTTAACATCGTGAACACTGTCCGTGTTCAGCAGAAATGCAAAGCTTATATTTTTATAAAATCATTTGCATTAATTCTTCTGTTAAAACCTGTGTATTATTTAAAGGAGCATAAACTGGCTTTTTATTTATTTTTTATTATATTGTTGTCTGAGGTCAACTTATGACGTTCGCTTGGTTTTTACATTCAAAAACATCAAAATGAATAAGAAATAGGCTATTTTCTACCCTAGTTTTGAGCCTAGCTGAAAAACGCTCGGTTTTTATGGGCGTCTCGCACTGAAGTCTTGGAAGTAAACGCCCACTGCTCTGAGTGGATAACAGTTTTGCATATTATAAAGAGTTTTATTATCGTCAGTGCACATTTATTGCTCGGTAGCTCGATCCGGTTTGTCATCATGAGGTAGGAATCTATGTTATTTAGCTATGTGTGAATGCGCGAATCAGTGGGCGGGGCTAAACCGGCCGTGTTGAAGTAGGCGTTGATCTTCTCCTGCGGAGGTGGTGTTTTATCCTCTTTGACGTCATAGTTCCCCACTTTGAAAAACGAGTCGTTTGCCGAGCCTGGTGTCAATAAAAGCTTTTATTGGACTAACAAGGACGTTTTCAGTTCTGAAACTTACAGGATATTCTTATAATATGATGACCTCTTAGATGTCAAAAGCTCAAGGACAATTTGATTTCTCAGTTCATCACCCCTTAAAGTCAGTAAAGATGTTCTTGACATTCTAATGAATCACTTTAGGGTTTAAGGGCATTATGTTGCTATGATGTATTTTTTTACACTAAAATCATGTAAACATAATTGTTTATGTCTTGTGGCTACATACATAGTGAAACATATTTACAGATTTACCCATTCAAGGGGAATTTTTTTTTTTTGTAATCAGCATCATGCTACAAGTGCTATCGATTAAGCTATATATTATAGCTTAAACAAGAGGACGGACGAGACCAATGTCCCTGTATATTGTCTTATCTCTAAAGTTCGGCCAAAAATGAAAAGTCAGTCCAAACATGTGACTTTCTTGCTTCTGGGAAACACAAAAAGCGATATTCAGAAATTAAATTTACAATTATTGTTTTTGTCTCAGAGGGGGTCAAATATGCTGTTTGGAGGGCGACTTTTTAATTTTTGATAATGTTATCTGTGAATATGCATCTCATATAAGAGATATAAAATATAT